ATATTTAATGGTTTTTGTGTTCTTTTTTACCTAAAAAAATGATGGTTGAACATTTTCTTGTTCTGCAGAGAAACTCGAGTTCATTGACTTGTAAGAAAAGAAAGAAAGGTTTAGTGAAGAAAGTTCAATGAATGTTAACTTTCTTAACTAACTCTTTCTTCCTATTCTTAAAAGTCTTCTTGCTCGTTTAGATATTAAATGCATAATTTTAAGTAAACTTTACCTTTGCCCTAGCCTTAACGATAGTAGTGTGTTTTTCTTCTCTCTGTTTTGTGATATGTATAACAAAATGTTATGAAGAGGTTCTGTATATATAATAGATGGTATGAATGGGTACAACTTGTTATTTTTTTGAACCCACACAACCGAATCTTGAACTTAAGTCAATTTCTAAGTTATTATTATTACTTAGTCACACTATATGGTACATAATCTAGCCCACAATTATATTCCTTTTGTTTTACAATAATATCATTTTAGACTTTTTTTTTCTATTCGAACAAAAAAAAATTCATGTAGGATTTTAAGGTAAATATTGACTAGAAAACATTTCAACAATGCATAAAAGTTTTAATTTATTTCTTAATGTACATAAAATTTTAAAACAACACTAATGATTTGAAACACTTTCATTTTACTTTGAATTGTAATAATTTCTTTTATGTTGAACATTAACATATACTTTGAATAAAAAAAATCTTATTTTTACTTAAATTTTGACTAGAAAATATTTTATTTGTTGATACATAGAAATTTCAATTTATTTCATAATTTACGTAAAAAATAAGATTTATGCAGCGAAGAATATTCTGGATTTCTTCAATTTTATCAGAGTTTATGGTTCGAAATTAAAACCATGATGTATTATTTAATTTAATATATTATTAGTCTTATGATCATCTCAAGAAATAATTTATCGTGGTATGTAAAATTGTAAATATCTTAGTTTGATGTCAATACTCAATAGTCAATATCGGCCAAGTTGTCTTTTTAGGGTTAAAGTCATCTTACTTGTTGGTATATTGAGAATTTTGTAAAAATAACAATTACATTTAAATGTTGGAGGCAACTATTACATTTAGAGAGAGAGAGAGAGAGAGAATCAATATACAAATTTATGTATCCATGTCGGTATAATATGTGTAGATCATGTATGACATATTGTTAAAAACATCCATCACTTTTAAAGAATTAATAATATGTAAATCTTTATAAGTATTTACCTCATTTATTTAACATTAGCATTTTTAATTATATTTGAATTGTTAGAAAGTAATATAGTAAGAAAAGATTTTTGATACAGTATTATTCTTTATTTTTTAAATAATAAAATTTTTTTTTGATAAGAACATATTTTTTTCTTCTAAATATAGTGATGTATTTTTTTGGAAAAAAAATCTATATACATGGTGATGTATTGAGGAAAATATGCATGTATGAAAGGCTGTTAAGATATTTATTACCTTTGAATAGTTAAAAGTGTGTAGATCTTTTCAAAATCATATCTTTTTATCGATTAATATTTGATATGCATGAATAGTTGAATACCATTAAAATAAGATTTTTTTTTTATAAGAACAAATTTGTTTCTAATATTTATATCTACCTCATATCCATAAAATCTAAGTGGCTATACATGTATCAAATGAGCACCATATCAAAAATTTCTTAGTTTTCTATGGAATTGAAGAAAGAGATGTATATTATGTTCTATATAGTTGTATTTAAAGGACCTCATAAACCAGGATAAAAAAGGGTTCTCTATTAACCTTTCTTTTAATTTTGTTACGACTATTAAAAAACTCAATAATGTAATTTTTGTTATGACAAACATATTAGTTAGCTAAATCAGGTGAATTTGTTCAGGATGTTTTAGGATTAGATCAATTATGCATAATTTTAACTATTTTAAAAGTTACATGATATCATATATTTTTAAAATAATCATATAAACCTATATAAAAATCCATATTTTGTGGATATAACAAAAGTAATTGTTATAAGATATCAAGAGACTGTAGTCTGATAGATCTCATCATAATTTTCTCTTTCTGTTTTGGTTTATGGGCATTCTATATGACTATAGATAAATGCATAATTAGTTCTCTCTCTTCTAGTACTATTCACAGATACTATTCATTTGCAAAAATCATTTTTACCTTTCTATTATCAATCTAATTACATATTCCCATTTCTCTCTCTTCCAACAATCTCCGACAAAAAAAAAAAGAGAAAGAAGAAGAAAGATGAGGGAGGATGGTGAAGAGGAAGGTGGAGATGGGTTGGATTTAATGGTAACAATAATAGTGACATAACAACGAGTGATGGTGGTGACATTAAAGCCGGTGGGCGATGACAATATGTTTAATGATTGTGGTGGCAACCGCAATAGTGGTAGTCACCATATCGGTTGATAATTTTATTTTTCTGGGTATTGAAAAGATTTTTAAATTATTATTGGTTACTATTGTTATCATGGTAACTTCTAAATTATTATTGGTTATATTCTATATAAATTACATGTTAAATAAATATTATCTCAATATTATTGTCATCAAAATACAATTATCAGATATTATTGTTAGCTTATTAGAATTTTTAGATATTATTATTAATATTAATATTTTATTATCAGATATTATTGTTAGCAAGTTATAATTATCAGTAATTATTATCAGCATGTTAACATTCCATATAACTTGTTAACTATCGTGATATTATTTTAGTTAGCATGTTAATCAAATAGTTATCTACAAACATTACATACAGTTTAACGCTATATTATAGTGAATAGTATCATCGATTTTAGATAAACAGTGTCGGATGGTGGTTGGTGAACAGTATCACCAATTTTTTTTCATCGGAACAGGTGTTTTGACTTTAATGACATTTTTGTAATTAATTAAAATAGAAAGAGTATTTTTGGCTTAATCTTGTTTTCTCTCTGATAGTTACATAATTTCAGTTATCCATTAATTATTAATTAAGTGGTCATATTGACTAAATTGATTGACTGTTCGATCTAAAGTATAAAGAATTAAATATTATAGCAAGTCGAACCTTTTTTTAACTTTCAGAAAGCACAAACAAAATTCAATATTTTCAGTTATTACTCAAAAAAGAAATCAAGTGGGAAACTAAATGAACCAAATGAATAAATAATAAACCTATGAGATGGCCATATCACCAACAACTAAATGCTGCTGATTGCTATTAGCAGTGACTGCAAAACGAACATGACCTAAGTATAGGCTTAACTCACATCCAGAAGTTAGCTCAAGAGTAAAATATTGCGATACACTTACATATTGTCCACAAATCTCTCGAAGTTCCAATGTAACATACCCCTTCACGCTTAGGCCTTGACATTTAAAGAGTGAAGTTTGTGGGAGTGTACATTGCGGGTGTTGCCTATACTTACTTTATTAGTTAGTAGAAATATATACAACTCACATCTAAAATCTAGCTTAAGAGTAGAAGACTGCCACACATTTGTATATGTCTACAGATCTCTCAAGATAAGGGACAATTCTAACAATTGCATGCAGACGTGAATCACTAGGACTGGAAGCTTTGGTAGGATCAACTTGAGAGAGAACCAAATCTGCAGATTTCAAGCTTTGCAATGGAATCTTTAGGTTTTTTCGGTCAAAATTTCATAAATTTTAGTCTTATAATGCCTCAACCGCAACTGTTCATGAACCCATACACCCTCTCTCAGCCAGTGAGCTCCACCTTCGTCTGACGGTTGGGAGCCTAGTAAGTTGTTATATTGAACCAAAAAATTACCACATGATCTTTTCAATGTTTTGTCATCACTTGCACATTACCAAGAATCATTTTCCAGTTAATCATCCACCATTAACTCTGGAGTGTTCTCTAGACAAGTGATCAAAAAAAATAATTTCATTTTGGTGATATAAGTACTCAAATCAATTCTTATAAAATTCTCTGCATACACCACCATATACCAAATTGGATATTATAGGCCTGCAATGCCAAAATAGTGAGTAAATCCAGTTTTTCATTAGAGGAAGGCAAATAAACTAGCGAAATCACTAGTGATAATATGTATTTTAAATTTTTTTTATAGGTACTACATTTTTAGTTTCTTACTCTTTTCTGTTTATAACAGGGTTTATGAAACTGAATGAAGAAAGAGCTTTTGTTTATTCAAGAGTAAGCCATAAAAGTCATGTTTTTGCATATCCTTTTTTTTTTCATCTTCCCTTTCTGTGGATCAAAAGCTAATAATGAACTATATTGATCATCTGAACTACTGTTATTTTGGCTTGTTTCTATGTGGGAGGTGCACAGTTCAAATCATGCAGCCTACATATTTTTTTTCTTTCAAATAACAACATCTTATTATATATACCTGTCGGGGATTCTAGCAATGGCAGATGATTCAGCTCTATTAACAATTTGACGAGATTGACTAACGGTGTAAAACTCAATGTATGTTTCAGCCAAAAAAAATTGAGTTCGGGTATTCAAATTGTTAATAGTTCAGGTATGCGTGGGCACAACAAGATTATACATGGATTAATCGGTACCATTTCATGCAGTTGAAGCACGAATAAGCCGTTTTCCGATCATCTAATACAATAATTGTTATGATATGTAAACCTCCATCTTTGTTGAGTTGGATCACTTTTTGCATCTTTTATTGGATTTTTCATTTGTAGTTATAACCTCTTAATTACTGCTGATGACTTACTAATAGGCTACTTTGTGAAGATCTTTGTGATCAGCGTAACTAGTGCTTATAGATTAGACTGGGTTTGTTCAAAATTGCCTGCAATTTAAAATTTAGAAAAAGAAATTGTTGCTCTTAACTTTTCTTTGCCACTTATCTCCTGAGTAAGCTCCTTGTCATCGAGAATGTAAGCTAGGTTTAACTTCGGATTTTCAGATTTTAAAACACCTCTTAGAGCGGACTTGACTTACAAACATCAATCTTGCTTGTACCAACATAAATATAATCATATTTCTAAGTTTATCTGCAATTCTTTCTTACCTAAATTGCACACGACCACATAACTAAAGTGTGTGATGTCACTCATGCCCAATAACTAGAGAGTTGTAATGGCTTACATGGGTAATAAATTGTAATAAGGTACGTGGCGAGCGATGAGTCTTCACTCCTCTATCTCATTTCCTTTAAATTAAAAACTATGTTGGTTACTTTGAAAACTCAGGATCAGCTGGCTTGTGCAGTACATGGGGTAACATATGCAAAGAGCTAGAACAATATGCTGCATTTTCCCGTCGTTTTCGCAAAGCCTTGGACACAAATCTAGACACGTAGAGACTTGCTCCAATATTGAGTTGCTTGCCTTGTGAAATTTGCTTATGTTCTCTTTTAGTGTCTAAGATCTTCGAAAGCTTCTTTTTGAAATGTTCCCTCCATGCTGCTTGTATAAAGCATGCCGCCCATGACCGCCAATGTGCAGAATAGAACCTGAAAAATAGATTTTTAGTCTCGCGGTTTGTTTAAGATAGTAAAAAGTAAAGAAACCTCAACTGCTATATTGGTTTGGAAACCTTACCTGAACATATGTTTGAGTTTGGTGCTATGAAAACGATTGAAATGGGAAGCTACAAACTTGAGATCATCAGGCAAGAGAATGAACCCTTCAACATCGGTCATAGTTAATATTGTTCTATTTGAGGTTGGGAGGCCAGAAGAAGGATGTGGATCAAGAACCCAAAAGAGAAGATCTCCAAATATGTCGCCTGCTTGGAGGTAAGATGAATCATAGTAGCCGGTTATTTCACTAGATCCGGAAATACTTTTCAATCTGCCTCTCGTTACAATAAGCATTTCCCCAATGGGGTCACCGTCTCTCACTATATAGCTATTCGCCGAGTAAAATGCAGACTTTACTCGATCGCACAATGTTTGTAGTAGCCAACCATCATCCATGATGTTGAGCCAAGGGACCTGACAAGTCAAAAATCTATAAGTTAACATCTATATCTAGGTGAACTGTATAGCTAACGGGAGCTTACATTGTTTAACAGAGTAAGGTAGAGATGGCGTTTGGTCTCGAGTCTTAGATCTTGTGGAAGGTTGCGGAGAAAAGCTTCTTCTTCGATGCTTCTAGTTTCTCGCCATTTGTAATTCTCGTATCTCCTAATGCGTTCCTTGAGATACTCTGGTAGCATCCGTGTCGACATCCATTTTTCTGTGTCTCTCTTTTTCTCCTCCATTTCATCTAATCTAATCGTAGTTGATTGCAAGTACTTCTGTGATTACACAAAAAAAAAAACCTTTTAAGAATCAGCTTTAGGAGATCAAAATACGTATTAGCATTATAACCTGAACATTTCCAATGAGCACAGCAAACAAGAGTAAACCAGAGACGCATATGATGATAGCGAAAATGATATCCCCTACAGAGTTGCTTGTCTTCAGATTTTGGCCTAAAGCACTGGAATCAGTAAAGAGCGAGTTAAGCTATTGATCTTCTCTTGCGGTCAAATCTCACAACAAAGAGCTAAAATGTTACAAACCTAATATGTCTGAGACCCCACCAAAAGCAGTAGAAGAACTTCCTCGGAAAGTCCCTTGGCTTTACCTCTACGATCCCTGACTTCAATGCATCAATGTACATACCAAAGTTGAAGACTGTGGAGCTTGTGATTTGATCAGGATCAATTAACGGGCATGACGTTTTCAGATAACGACCGTTTCCTTCTCCGCCACCTCGACCACAATACTGATTCGTTATGTTGCATCCGGATATCTTAGCACACGCTTCGCGCCAACATTTGTTTTTCTTTTCTATCGCACTCAAGTACCAGAATGCCCCAAACACCTAGCCATCATCAAAGTTGGAAACATTTCTTGTTGCTATTATAGCAAAAGAAAAAAAAAACTGAGCAAAGACTTACATAACTGTGGAGCATGTAGAGGAAAAGGTTGAAAGCAGCTCCAATCCACTTTGTTTCTGCTACTGTACCGGAGGCCCTTGTCACTTCTTTGAAAATTGGATAGATGCGAATGATTCTTGGTATATACTGAGAAAGTATAATCCATTTCAGTATTTCTTTTGACACCAGTGAGTCAGACCGTTGCATGAGAGTAAGAACCACAACCTACAAGGTCTCTAATGCTAGATGTCAGAATAAAAAGAATGCACCATCCATGTAAACTCGGTATATCTAATTTTTGAATTGTTCTATGTAACGATCGACAAAAGAAGTGAACACACCTGAGGAATGGGGAGAACAGAAAGAATGTCAACAACGAAGTGAAACAGGAAGTGTCTTTTCTTGATAGCCTTAGAATGTATGATCAGCTCGCCTCTTAAAGATACTTGAGAACGAGGAGTAATAAGCTCGGTGATGAAATGAAAAATGATGTGAATCACATATAGCGTATCAATGAAGGTACGGAGGACAGAAACTACTACTCCAAGCTTCTTGTCGAAAGTGAAGCAGAATCTAGGAGAATCAATCACAGGGACAAAGAGAAATAAAGGGTCAATCCCCAAAGCAGCCACACAAACTAAGAGGACTGCCTTCCTCCAGTATTCAAGTGTATTCATCTTCGCACAAACTTTCTTTAAGAGTTCTCTTAACACCCTTGAAATTTCCATTTTAACTAATCTATTCATCAAACCTGCATCAATAAAATATAGCTTCAAGAACAACAACTCCTCATAGATTCGTTGATTAGACACCAAAAAAAATAGTTGACTTTTAGAAGTAAACAAACCTCGCAGACACAAATTGTGGGAGAATCGATGATCTTTCAAAAGTCAAAACCATTCCTCAGCTTCTTCTTGAGGATTTGTCAAAGCAAAAGGTTGCAAAATGTTTTAACGTCTGTCCCAAAAACCAGAAAGTCAATGAACGGTGAGAACCAAATTTGAGTCATTCGAGATGATTGGGATTATGGCTTGTTGATTTTTTTACTATAAATCTAAAAAAAATTATTAAATATTATCAAATCTTTTATTTGGTTTGATTTTTTATTTCGTTTAAGGATTAAATATGAGATAATTACTAGAACAACCTTCAAAAGTTGCCTCTTTACTAGAATAACTCTGCCTCAAATTTGAAAAATTAAACTAACCTTAATAAATTGGTTAGACATTAAAATCCATGTTTTCGTTTTTATAACAAAAATGCCATTATATTAAAATTTTATGATTTTTCTTTTTTACATATATCGATATAAAAAACAAAAAAAATTAAAAAAGAAATAAACAAAATTAGAAATACATAAACAAAAGGGTTACAAAACCCTAATTGTGTCTCTTTTAAAAAACCTCTCAAATCTCTGCCGCGATTGTGGTTCCGATTTCGAAACCGTCTTCTTTTCCGGTGAGATTGTATAACTGTTCCAATCTTAAGGTCATAAATTCCGGCTAGAAGTAGGTAAAGTATCTCCAATCTCCTTTATCTCTTCATCTTCATCTTCTCCGTTTCGTTTTCTTCTTTATTTTTTTGTTTTCTTATTTTGTCTTTTTTTTTGTCTTTTCGTCTTCTTTTAACCGCCGAGAAAACTTTAAGCACCATCGCCGAATTTTTTAGGGCGACCACCGTCTAAAGTGATGATTCAAGAGATATGCCCACCAACTGTTCGATGAAATTTCGCCAATGATGGTAGACTTATTCGTAGATTTTCGTTAATGGTAGATTTATTTTCCTAGTGGTGGTAGATTTGTTGTCAAATGATGGAAGATTTATTTTTGTATAAGTTTAATATACAGTAGATTTATTTTTGATATAATGATAGATTTATTTTTAATATAATGGTAGATTTATTTTTTAAATGATGATAGATTTATTTTGAATTTTGTGTATTTATCTTCTTCTCTAATAGGTGATTGACGACGAATGGTGGATCAAAAGATAAACAATATGATGGAAGGGGAGTCGAGTTACTGGCACGGAAATGAGGATTTGTTTATAAAAAAAAAATATTTGTGGATTTGTTTGCTTGAATAGTGGTAGATTTGTTTATTTAATGGTAAATTTAATTTAGGATTTGATAGATTTATTCGAAATGGTAGTAAATTTCTTTAAATAATAATTTAATAATTGGTTAGTATGTATAATCAAAATAAATGAGATATAAACTCAAAACATATGATATAACCCAATAATATAAAACAAATTAAAATACAATATTCATTTTATATACCAAAAAAGAAAACAAACAAGCACAAATAAAAAAAAAACCATTTGCCATTTCTAACACAATCAAGCATTGTCTAGCAAATAACCAAATATTCTAAATGGTTCAATGTAGATTAAAGTAATAATACAATTTTTCATTTGTTATTGACATTTTAGTACTTCAAAAAATGCATATATCAAACTAAATCTACCATCATTACAATAAATCTACCACCAAACAATAATTTTTGTCATATTTAGTCCTGTGATGACCATCTTCACGATGGATGCCTGTTTTTTTTGCAAATATAAAGTTTTTTTAAGGGCAAAATTGTCATTTGACATTTCATAGTTTCAACAAATCTACCATCATTAATAAACAAAAGATCTATCAATTTCAGATAAATCTACCAATATCAGATATATCTACCTATTTATAATTAAATCTACCAATTTACGATAAGTCTACCAATTTTGTGTTTTTCAAATTGTTTTATAAATCTACCATCATTATTAATAAATCTACCAAGTTTTGTACAAATCTGCCTATTGTTAATAAATCTACTGTCTCTTCAAATAAGTCTACTACACCTAAAAATTTAGGAACCATATTTTATCATTAATTAAGTCTACCGTGTCTACTAACAAATCTACCATTTCAACAAAAAATCTACCAATACGAAGATAAATCTACCAACACATTATTAAATCTACCATAGCATTATTAATCTACTGTCATTAAAAATAAATCTACCGTTATTGAGACTCAAACCATCCAACGATAAGTCTATTATCATTACACAAAAGTCTGCCTCGGACGAAAATAAACCTACCGTCAAATAGGATAAATCTACTAATCCAATATACTGTCTACCAAAAAGTCAACCAAAGTCAACCTTACCGAAAAATGTCTACCAGATCGTATCAAATGTACCCTCATTATAAACAAGTCTACTGGAAATTTAATAAGTCTACTGACCACTAACATCCTATCTAACGTAAGAATAAATCTATCAAAATAAGTCTACCGACTTCAAAACAAATCTACCGACTTCAAAACAAATCTACCGTTTTCAAATAAATCTACTGACCCAAAACAAATCTACGGTTTCAAATATAAGTCTACCAAAAAATTATAAGTCTACCGTGAAATATTGGTAAACTTGTATATTTGAGCGCGTTGGTTTTTTCGTAAATAAATCAAACTTTTGTTGACGTGGATTATAAATAGTAATGGCAGTTTTGTAATTACGTTTTTTCTTAACAAAGGTCAAAAGGGTAGAATAGGTACCATAGGTTATTCTAATAACTAAAATTTTTGAAAGCTGTTTAAATAATTTCATGATTTTTGAAGGCTATTATAGTTATCCTCCCATTAAATATCTATGTATATTTAATTAACTATTCCAGAAAATACTTTTTTGAATATTTTAAGGGCAATTCTCAAAAATAACCCTGAAAAACTAGGGTGATTTGCAAGAATAATAGATTTTTATCTGACAATTGGAGAAATAGCTTCCAAAACCGGTCAATTAACAAAATAGCAATAGTCAATTGCTTTTTGGGTGGGGAAAATACCATAAACCCCTTCCTCCTTTATCCCCAACACTGCTTTATCTCTGACACGAAAACGACATATTCTTTTCGTAAAGTTTGAAATGCTACCATCAACTTTGGAACAATAACAATGTCTATTTTTGGGATAATAAAAATAATAAAAAAAAAATTGGAATGATAGCAGTGTCAACTTTGGAATGATAGTAGTGTCTACAATTTATACATAAATAGACGAATATTAAAAATCGATTACGTACTTGTTCCCGAGCTTCTTCGGTATTTGGATCGGTTCGGCCATCATTATCATCAGTAACCTTAACAGTCAAAATAAATAGAAGACATAGGCGATTACATATATGAATTACATAGACAACTATTAATAGATGGATACAAACCTGTCCTTTATCTAACTCGGAATTTGGGTCTGAATGTTTGCACCTGCATTATCGTCGGTGGTCTAAGCAGTAACATTATATAAATTAAAATAATCATTTACAAAATAGACAGCTACAAATAGATAAATACAAACTTGGTCGTTAGCAGATTTGAAATTCGAATCAAGGAGGTCTGACATATCCTCGGTTGCCTGAACAAAATCACGAAACTAATAAAAAACCATCATAAAATAGATGAATACTATTAGATGGGTACTATTAGATGTATATGAACCTGAAACTTTAGCGAATTCAGAATTTGGATCTGAAAAATCTAACATATTCTTAGTTGCCTGAACAATGTCACTAGAGGAATAAAAAAGCTATTATAAAATATATGACTATTAATAGATGAATACGAACTTGAACTTAGCAGACTTGGAATTCAGATCTGAGAGGTTTGCAATATCCTCGGTTGCCTGAACAGTTACACTAGATGAATACAAAAAATGCGACTATAAAATGTGTGACTATATTTATACAACTACAAACCTGATCTTTAACAGACTCTGAATTCGGATTTGTTATGTTAATGTTTCTTCGCAAGGCTACTATGAACATCATAATAGGGGTATTTCTGACTTTTTTATTTTGTTGTCAATTTTTTTATATTTAAAATCCGAGAACATAACGCTAGGCATCTTAATAGCAAGTAATACTAAGTAGTTAGATACAAAAATTTCAACTACAATTAAAAAGTGTATAACAATTAATACACAGATAAAATAGTACGCTACAAATGCAACGCAAGATGTTCATAATTAAATAGTAGTTGACTACAAGAAAATATTCATAACGAGAGTACATAACATAGTCATCTATACATAAGTAGTTTACTATGGTAGATACCTAAGGCACGAGAACATTCCTCGCAATTTGGTAATGAGTGAACAGGTAGCAATGCTCACAGCACTTCAACTGGTGTTTCCAACCGCATTCAAGGAATATATGGTCTAGCAGTTAAAGTCTACAGGTTCTCTCTCTACTCTTACAAAAACATCGATCAATACATCCGAAGTTGGAGAAATACATTGTTTGCCATTCTGTATATATTAATAAAGTAGATAACTACCCAATTTGAAAAATGGGGTGAACAATTCATATAGAATAGTTCTGTAGGCTATTAGAATAGGCGTTCTGCAACGAGTAGTCGACTACTATCTATGATGTATTACCGAAAGTAAGATCTAAAAAGCGTAGATCTGGATTGTTCACTCCATTTTTGTAATCAAATAAACTATTAACCAATCTCTAAAACTAGATCTAACATTAGAAACATGTGATTATACGAGTTGATGAAACACAGTCCTAGATATTAGTATTAAGTATATTGTAATGCTAGATCTAGAATTACAGAGATGTCATTTATGGAAAAACGAGAACAAACGAGAAAATTGAGCTGAGCAAACGAAATGACAGCTGAGATTGAAAATTATACCGGTCACTCAGCAGTGGTGGAAGAACTACAACTTTGGGGTCGAGGAATGTAGGTGGTGCGGTGGATTATTCTCGTCTAGCGAGCTTCGGAGGAAGAGCTTGAAAGAGAAAAGGGAGGAAGAGCTGGAAAAAAAATAAGATTTTGAATTTCAAATTTAAAGGAAGAGAATGTGGTCTCTTATGTAGAATAAACTTTTCTCCGTGAGAAAGAAAATTTTTGTGAAAAAAGTAAAATGTTGTTAGATATAAAAAAGTTTAGAGTGCTAGTAGATTATATCGAGTAACATTGCTAAAATGAAAGAGTAGAGTGCTGAATAATTTCGCATCTATTAAATATAATAAAATAATAGTGCCAATTTGGACACATACTCTTCCACTTAATTTCCCAAAAAAACTAAATGTTCTTAGAAAAACCCCTATTTCTCAGGCTGACCAATCTAGCACTCATTAAACCTCTAGTTTTAACGACGACTATGATTTCTGAATCCCTCATTGTCGACAGTCGACACCACCTCCCTCCTCAATTTTTCTATGTGGAAGGATCTACGACGGAGCAGGTGGAGTTTTCGCCGCTTACCCCTACGTCGCCACCTGTGTTCTACAATCAAATTCAGTGATCGAGCGAGCTTAGCTCCTTATCCACTATATATTCGTCAATTTGACAGCAATTGACAAAACTTTCGATAAACTCGATTTATCATCCGATTCGCGGATGATTCTCCCACTAGTTACTCTTCCTTACCTCCCTGAGTCGAGGATTTTCACCGCGTCGTCTCCAACAATCTCAGCGTCCTAACCCTTATATGATGCTCTACGACCACCTCCTCGCCAACCGGTTTTGACACTATTTTCTTTTAGTCTTTCGAATAATTAGCAATTACTTGTATGATAATCCTGAATTTTTGGGTTTCTACTCAAATTTGATCCTTTCTTTGTCTGATTTTCGGATTTGAAATGTTGGGTCTCTGAATCTGCTTTAGAATTGTGATATTCTTATTTTCCATTTGAGAATTTTAATGAAAAGAAATACTATGATCTGGAGATGAAATTTTTTGACGTTTGTGAAGTAGTTTTGGTTTTAGGATCTACACTTCCACTTCTACGTTTCTGAGGTATGAATATTTTTTAGCTAAACATTTTCTGTGATCGCTTACCTCATCTTGAATCATTTGAGTTTGATTGAATTTTCATGTGAATTATCTAGGATTCAGTACTCTGTTCCATGTGTTTAATTCTTTTGTGAAACTGTTGCCTCTTGTGATGGCCTTCAGGAGTTACCTATCTCATACTTCTTTGATTTTTGAATCCTAGTTTAAGATATCTCATACTTCTTTGATTTTGAACCAGTAATGAACGTGTATTTAGTTTGAAGATAAAAGCTGGCTCATTTATAATTTTTGTTGCATAGGGAAAGGACTTTCAATGCTGTTTCTATATATTTATATTTGTTTCATGTTTAATTTTTACTACTTATTCAAGTTTTCCTTTGATAAATTATTTTTTATTAGTCTTTAGTTTAATGGTCTGATTATTGCTTTTCTTCCTTCAATTGTAGATTTTCTGTACAAGGGTTACCAAGGAGACAAGAAGCTGGTTGTCACCACATACTCAGCAAAACGTTTTTCTCACAGGTTTATATAATTTTTTTCAAAAGTTTTTTCGGGTTTTGGTTCATATGAATTAACTTATTCACTGTGGGCATACAGTCTCTCCATGAGTTAGTAGTGGATTTGAGTGTCTCACTTAACAGTAAACGTGATTCTTCTTTTAGTTAAGACGAGTTCATGAAGACCTTCCTAAAACATTAAGAAACCTTACTAAATTTTCAATACAAGAACACCATCTTAATTTTCAAAAAGATTTGTACTAGTTTAAGAAGGTGTTTCTGAATCGCTAAAATATATCTCAAGCACCGGATGTGGCCGAGAATGACACAACATAGATTAAATGCAAAGATATCCCTTACGAATACACTTATTACAATTTTAGGAAGCTATCCACAAGGTTTAGGAACCTTTTCTTATGTTTTAGGAAATCTTTCCTAAAATTTTATTCAGTTATTCTAAACACTGTTAAGTTTGTTTTCATCGTGGTTCTTATTTAATTAGGTATAGATTGGATGAAATTTTTGTTATTTTGAGTTGCACCAACAAACAATACACTAGTTCAATTATTCGTAACAATTTAGGAAGCCTTCTCACGTTTATATTAATACCTTCCTAAATGTTTATGGAACTGATGTTATGAAATAGAAAACTGTCATTGCATCTGTTACAAAGAAAATGGAGCATTTGAAACATCAAAATAAGAATTTAGGAAGCCATGTTGAATTCTTAAGAAAGATTTTTTCAGATTTAGGAAAACCCACCTCAATCGTATTTTAGGAAGCCAAATAAATGTTTAAGAAGGTTTTCAAAACATTAGAAAAAATTTCCAGAGATTTTCATTGACTCTTATAAAACATTCATAAACCCTTAAAGATAAACATCTTAAAGTTTTAGTAAGGGTTCTTATACATTTAGGAATGTATTCCTTAAAATTTGGAAAGACTTCTTATATTTTAAGATTGTTTTTTTAGACGTTACTAAGGCCATGAATGTTTGCATGGTTTTTCGTTTTTGGTTTCTGGCTTTTGGGTTTTGTTATATAATTGGTTTTGTTAACAATAATTATTTTTTAAAAAGTGTTATTATGCTTTTTCATTTTTCATGTGTTTACGATTACTAAAAATAAATTTTTTTTTTTTCAAAATCGTATTTTTTATAAAAAAATAATAAATCACAAAATTTTAGAAGTAATAATAAAAATATAAATTTAGAAATAAGATTTTTTTTTTAAAAAAAAAACACCATAACTCACAAAAAATAAAAAACCACTATAGATCTAAAATTAAAAATTATGAAACGAAAATGCAGATATATTTATTTCATTACTTCACATTATTGTAGAAATAAGATTTTCGATTTGAAAAAAAAAATAAAATAAAAAATAATTGAAAAAAAACAGTACTGTATTTATAAAAATTAAAAGAAAACACAATGTACGGTAACTTTTTTTTGAAGGAACTCCTAAATAGTAGTTTTTGGTTTCTATTTAGAAAATGTAAAAAATTTGAAAAACTAATTTTCCTAAAATTTAGGAAATCTGTTTATTCAAAAACTTGAATGGTTAAGAAAATGGTTTTTTGAAAAACAAAATCCAAAATCTACCTAAAGCTTCCTAAAACAGTAAGGTGTTTCTGCATTTATTGTAATTTTGACAGTTGGAACTGTATTTGAAATTTTGTTTTTTAGACTCATTTCATTTTACAAGAGAACATGATGAAAAAGACAAGATGGTAAACATGAAAGAGGCGAACAATGAGCTGAATAAAGCAGGTTTGCCAGAAGATGATGAGTCTGGCGGAGAAGACAAAATAGAGATTGCTCAGAAAGAAGTACATGCTGATGTGCTTGGAAGACTGGCCTGAAACAGAGAGGAAGACGATAAAGAAGCTGAGGAAGGCGGTGAGAACGGTACAAGCAAGAATCTGGGTGCACTAGAGAGGATAAAGAGACAGAAACTACCTAGTGAATAAAACCTGTAGAAGATTAATCTCATGATTCAGATTGGAATTGTAATAGCCATAACAAGATCTTAGAGAGTCATGAAAGTTTTTATATTTTGATCTTAGGTTCAACTTATGTAAAAATTGAACTTTTTGCAAGGTGTGGGCTTTATAAATTAAATTCAAACACCATGGAGCCAACTTTCATAGGAATATTACTCTGATGCCTTCAATAAGGATATTTGATCTAAACCCATTGCACAAATTGTTGTAGATACAGAAAAGGTGAATTTTATTTTCATTCATATATTTTTCTTTGAACTCGATGAAACTTCATTATCTTCCTCTTTTTGTTACTCATTGCTACTGGAGATGAGTCACCAACAGAATCTTCAGGGCTCATCTTCAGCTCAGACTCAAACTCTTTTGCAGCCTGCGCCATTACAAAACCCCATAAATAGGTTTATGAATCAAGGTAGTGTATTAATAAGATCCAATCAAGTTATGGTATATTACTTGATAATAAAACTGAAACTTGTATTTAATTACAAAACACGCATATAAACTTGTATTTAATCACAAACATGCATAGAAAGGCTTTGAGAATTTGATTTCACCAAAGCTAAATACCACACACACACACAAACACAAAAGACAAAAAAAAAACGAAAGAAGAGGTACTAGATTTAATTCTCAAACTGACTTTGTGTCCGAGCTTTAACAAGCATTCAGAGAGGTAATAGATGTAATTCTCCACACCACCAAAGTTTGGGAAGAAGCTCCAGTACTGCAAGATGCAACTTCCTATATATGAGCAGCACTAACTAGAAAACATAATTCTAGTTAAAAGACGTTTCTTCTAGTAATCCCAACACTAGAACCCTAACTCAATTTTCAAACCCAACAAATGACGTTCTTAATAGATATATCAGATAAGAAAAGTTTTAGGAAGATCTTCCTAAATATGTTAGAACGTTTCCTACTTTATTCAGAAAGCGATTCCTAAAAAAAGCCAGTGTACAATGTCATCCCCAAAAGCAGCGGCATGTCTTTGGAGGATCGTCTCAATGTCCAAGGAGGATCTGTGATACCACAATTCTAGAAATAATCCGCAAGACCAATTTGAGTTGAAGATAACCAGAATTTTTGATTTCCATAAACATTGAAATAAGATCGGAAACTCAGAATTTGATGAGAGAAGTAAGAGTCAATAGAGAACGAACCGTGAAGGGCTTATAATTAGTAGTACTCTATGGTAACGACCTCCTCGGATTCGCGAATTTGATGAGAGAAGCAGCCTAAGAAGACATTTGTGGGGAAATTCTGGAGGATGGTGTTGGTGTACTCTCCGAGGGGTTTCCTTTGCAAGCTTAATCCAGCACAACAACGGAGAGGAAAGAGATTCAGAGAGAGAGGGAGAAGAGTTTGAAGAAGAGCAATCGAGAATATATTTCTCAAAATCCAGAAGCGAAACAAAAAATACGTAGAAGAAGGAGAATATGGTCCAAATCGTTTCTGTTCGGAGATGATGATAGAAGTTTCTCGTTTCTGATTAAAGATAATGATTAGAGATGTTAATAGATAAAGTCAATTAATGAATGCTAATTTGGTCTCTTCCAAATGAAGAGGCTATTGTTTAGAAAATTTAGTTTTTTGGGTTATTTCATTCATTTTCTCATATTTTAATTGTATGCAATTTAATTTAGTCTGATTAGACTCAATTCCAGTTCTATTATATTCGGTTTGTAATTAAGAACTTTTTATTGTCGGTTTAATTCAGCTTTACAATTTCCATTTTAAAGTGTACAGTCCTAAAAACACTACCGTAATATTTTTTTTTAAATGGTCCAACATTAGGTAAATACTCTCTTAAAACCATAGGAATTTTTAAATATATATATACTAGATATATATACAAGATAAGTATATATATATATATATACGAGTTTATCTATACTATTATTTGCGAAGTCAAAAATCTTATGTGTCGTCTCCAGAATGATTCGCTTATGTGTCATTATTAAAATCTATATATATATATATCGTTTTAATTAATTCAGATAAGGAGATCATTAATCTTACGTGTCAATATGTGTGACATGGTTTTTTTCATCGATTATGGGTCATTGAATTTGTTAATGGACCAGCGGTTTTAATGAGTCACCAACATAAAAACTGTAAATCCTAAGATATTTATCCTACTCTATATATATGCTCGTATCGTGTTCCTCTTTTTTATTGTTCCTAAACATCTTTTTATATATTCGTGTTCGTAAATATTTTGGAGTAAATGATGCATCGTTTATATTACAAAGCTTCAAGTAATTTGTCTGAATTTTCTCTCTCTTTAATTCAGATGTTCCCGTTTTGAGCTTCCACCTGTCTCAACCTGATCGTGAACCTGAAGGGTAAGCGTAAGTCCATATTTCTTTTTTTTTTTGTTACAACGTTATTGTTCCTTAAAAGTAAGTTGGTTCCACGACTTTCTTTTCTTCATGATTACTTGCATTTGTATGTTGTTATTATTCACTTACATGTATAGTTTGATGTTTTTCTAAAAGTTTATTATAATTTTGAAATGTCAAGGTTTACACCTTGAGAGGCGCACACAATTTGTGGGTTGGATGGATTATAATCATTTGTTTCGCGAAGAATTCTCCAGTATTCAGAATTCCCATCACTCTACGTTTAATGGCACAATCTTTGTGTATTCTATTCTACTGTCTCTGTTTTTTGTTTACTAGATTCTTGAGACATTTCATAACAACCTTTGTATAACGTGCGCCTCCCTCCTCTTTTTTTTTAATACATGGTTCTGCCGTTAATTTCTTCCATTGTTACATTTACTTATGTTCTAGATCCTAACAGAATACATGAGGAGGATTGGTGTACAGTTGATTTGATGTCACTTGATATCTGCCTTAAAGATTCAGAGTCCTCAGTTTAATTGAAAGGGAACTTTTTTTGTTTCTTTATCAAATTTAGGCTCGGGTCCTCTTTATGACACAAGCAGATATAAGCCATGTATTATTAGACAAAACTGCGTTTGATAAAAGAACTTTGTTTGTTTCTTTATTGGTGGATCTTACTCTTGAGATATTAGATCATTTGTCTTTCTTGTTTTTTTTAGTTTATCAAGGTACAAGTTCTTGTATATCACGTTTGAAGGTTTGCACGCATAATTGCTTCGGTTTTGTATGAAGTTCTAAAAACATTGGAATTTCAGTGCTGAGGTGAATTCTTCTATGGGTTTGTTTTGATATAATCTTTTTTCTTATTTTCTTGGTGGATGTTTTGCAGCTTACAGCCTTAGGACAACACTGAGACCAACTTCTGCTTTGTTGGAAACACATTGTGTCAGAATTAGAGGGCTTAGTGATTCATGTATGGGACTATTCTCAACCAAATAAGAAGGCTGTTTCTTCTCAGAAACCAAAAACGATCAGGTCTTATGTTTGTTGCCATACCTTGACTAGGCAAGGGGAAAGAGGGGGACAGTTTCATTGCTGATCTGCGAAAAAAGTTGTTCATTTCCTGTTGCGGATGGACTATCTCTCTCCAATGAAAGGAGCAACAACGTGGCCAGAAGAGAAGCTTGGCCTAGTAACAGGTGCAGGTGCAGCAGCGATTTCAGCTAAAGCCAGCATCAGGTCTAAGCTGAGGCTTTTGAGGAACGTGTGCGAGAACGTTAACCCTTGTACGCTGCACCTGTGGGGGCTTGTGATCGTGACAGAAACTTGGGACGGTAGGATTAGGGTGTTCCATAACTACGGTTTACCAGTTCAAATATACAAAGCGGGAAATGTGTATATGTAAACAGTGTTAAAGTAGTAGCATTCTTTGATTTAGATTGGAGCTCACATTAACTTTAAAATCATGAGCTAAAATTGGTCTTTTTGTATTTTGTATCTGGTGCTTTATGTGACACCTATTATGTGCGTGTGTGTAAGTAAACACCGACCGTGATTTAAAATTTGTCAAACTTAGAAGCGACAACAATGTGACTGACTAATGAATCTCTCTGGTTCTTAGCATTTACAAAACATTAGTACTCTATAATCCTTTTTGTGTCCTTCTGTTGATATTATTCCTTTAACCGAGGACTCTGAAATACATTTATGTTTTGATATTTGCTTATCAGATGTTTGAAAGTTAAAAAATATATACTTGAGGAATTGTATCTGATGAGCATAACAAGAACAGGGACACTACTTGATCGACTCTCCCCCTTTCATATGTATTAAGAAAAACATACAAAAGAAAGAAAAAAAACTCTATCTTTAGAGCTTTACTTTATGTTTTTTTTATATATTGTATTAGTCTTGATATATATATACAAAGCTTGAGATTTTGGATCAAAAAATTAGATCCTTCTTAAATCGATTAATTGAAACCAGTTTAATTAATCTTTTTCCTAAAAAGTCATAGCTTTTTTATTCATTTTCACTAATCTTACTAAAAATATAGCTTTTAAAGTCAACTCAACCGATCAATCTAAGACGGTCTTAATGGTTTTTTTTTTGTTTAAAAAATACAACACTCTCATCAATTTAATATAATACATGATAACAGCAAAAAGAAATTAGTTAAATTAGACAAAGCAGAAAATTAAAAGACGAAAAAAAATCTGAATAATAGTATATCGAGACGAAAAATATGATAAAGAAAGATAAGAAAGAAAATGAAGAAATTGGAGATAGTGAAAAGAAGTCGGAAGAAATGAAGACGATGAAAACAAGCAGGAAGAAATCACAGATATTGAAGAAGAAAGAAAAATTAAGGAAGAAATATATTTTAAATTTTTTTTTGTACAATATTTTTTATCGGAGGTAACACATGTAAATACCATTTTATTAACTGTAATTGTTTATATATATAAGGGGTTTATATATATATATATTAACTGTAATTGTTTTTAAAATTTAGATAATTTAAATATATAAGTGGTTTCATGAACGTAAGCTACAAGAAAATAATACTTGAAATGATGAAGCTGTTTTGATGTCAAAAAAATGTGGGAATGATATGAAGAAGGAGAATGAAAAGATGGCCAAGATGGTTGAAAGTAAACTAAGAGAACAAAATAGAAAATAAGCATGACGGAAAATTTGTTCTTGAACTTCTACAGATTTGTTGCAACTTTTGATCATTTTATTATTATTATACATGTGAAACAGACATTATGGTCAAATTGCCAATGAGAGCAATGAGATATCGTTTTTGAAAAATTGTGTATTGTAAAAGTGTTTCATCTGAATTGGATTTTGATTGAATGAAAAAAAGTCTTACAAAACCTCATTAGAAGTAGCATAATCAGAGCAAACAACGATGAAAAAAACATGTTAGTCCACAAATCTTACGTTATTTTTTTTATTGCACAAGAATTATTATACTATCTTTCAAGAAATTGATTCTGTACAAATAAATACAACTATCAATTGTACATCCTATTCAAAATAAGAGAAAAAAAAACTACAGAAGAAGTCGAAGGATATAAAAGAAGAAGAAGCAGAAAAAATACGAATAGACGACAAAGAAGTCAAAAAGACAAAGACAAAGTCATATCAATTAATTTCGAAAATAAAAATAAAAAGGTGCATAACCCATACTAATGAAGACGCATGAGGATAAAAAGATGGGAAGTTGAAGAAGAAGAAGAAAAAGACTCAGACGCTTGAGAGGTTAGAGAAAAAGAAAAAATGAGAAAACAAAGTAGTAGAAGAATAAGAGGAAGAAGAGGGGGAGTAAGAAATTGAAAAAAAGAAGAAGTTGTGATCATGAATATTGTGAAAAATAAGTCAAAGAAAATAAGAAAAAAGAAGAAGAAAAATACAATGAGGAAGATCAGAAGAGGAAGCAGAAGAGGAAGAAGACAAAGACAAAATAAGTAAGAATGATAGATTAAAGAAAACTCAAAAGAAATAAGAAAAAGTAAAAACAAAACTAAAAGAAGAACCAGGTGTTGGAGAAGACAAAGACGATAAAGAAGTAGAAGTCAAAGTCGCAGAGGATGAAGATGAAGAAGGAAACGAGGAAGACTAAGCTGACGAAAATGAAGACAAAGCAGAAGAGGAAGAAGACAAAGACGAGATAAGTAAGAATGATAGATTAAAGAAAACTCAACATAAATAAAACGAAGAAAAAAAGTAAAAGAAAAAGCAGGTGTTGGAGAAGAAAAAGACGATAAAGAAGTAGAAGTCAAAGTTGTAGAGGATGAAGATGAAGAAGGAAACGAGGAAGATGAGAGAAAAAAAAGAGGAGGAGAAGAAGAGAGAGCTGATTAAGAAAAACTCGAAAAATACGAAGACATATATGTTCAAGATAAGGAAGAAAAATAGAAGTTGAAGATGACAAATTATGAGAAGGTGAAGATGGGAAAGGAAGCTAAGAGAAACTTAGAACAAGAAATTAAAGAAAACAAAGAAGAAAAATGTGATGAATTATAAGAAGAAAGAAGAATAAAAACAAGACGGATAAAAAACAAAAGAAAAGAAGAAGAAGAAATCGAAGAAGACAAAGATTATAAAAAACAAGAAGTCCAGCATGATTAAGAA